ACTCTTCCTTGTCTTTTAATATTCTCACTGAATGCATTCATATTTTAAATTTCTTTTTCTGGTATTTTACTACTATCCTGCTCTAATTGTTTTTTGTTTGTTTGTTTTTTGAGGCTGGAGCGCAGTAGCACGATTTTAGCTCACTGCAACCTCCGCCTCCTGGGTTCAAGTGATTCTCATGCCTCAGCCTCCTGAATAGCTGCGATTACAGGCACATGCCACCACAGCTGGCTAATTTTTGTATTTTTAGTAGAGACAGGATTTCCCCATGTTGGCCAGGCTGGTCTTGGACTCCTGGCCTCAAGTGGGTGATCCACCCGCCTCAGCCTCCCAAAGTGCTGAGATAACAGGAGTGAGCCACAGTGCCCTGCCATTATTTTATTTATTTGAGACAGAGCCTCACTCTGTTGCCCAGGTTAGAATGCACTGGGATGATCTCTGCTCTCGGCACCCTCAGCCTCCTGAGTTAAAGTAATTCTTGTGCCTCAGCCTCTGAGTAGCTAGGATTACAGGAACGTGCCACCATGCCTAGATAATTTTTGTATTTTTAGTAGAAATGGAGTTTCGCCATGTTGACCAGGTTAGTCTCGAACTTCTGACCTCAGGTGATCTACCCACCTCGCTCTCCCAAAATGCTGGGATTACAGGTGTGAGCCACTGCACCCAGGCCCTAATTTTATTTTTTGTAGACATGAAGTCTTGCTATGTTGCCCAGAATGGTCTCAAACTCCTGGGCTCAAGCAATCCTCCCACCTTGGCCTCCCAAATTGTTGGGATTACAGGACCGAGTCACTGTGTCTTGCCTTCTAATTTCTTTTTGTTTGTTGGTTTGTTTTTTGAGACAGTCTCGCTCTGTCTTCCAGACTGGAGTGCAGTGGCACAGTCTTGGCTCACTGCAACCACTGCCTCCTAGGTTCAAGTGATTCTCCTGCCTCAGCCTCTTGAGTAGCTGCAATTACAGACTTGTGCCACCACGCACAGCAAATTTTGTATTTTGTTTGAGATGGAGTTTCGCTCTTGTTGCCTAGGCTGGAATGCAGTGGTGCGATCTTGGCTCCCTGCAACCTCCACCTCCTAGGTTCAAGTGATTCTCCTGCCTCAGCCTCCTGAGTAGCTGGGATTACAGACATATGCCACCATGCTTGGCTAATTCTTTTTTTTTTTTTTTGAGACGAAATCTCGCTCTGTCGCCCAGGCTGGAGTGCAGTGGCGGGATCACGGCTTACTGCAATCTCCTTCTCCTGGATTCATGCCATTCTCCTGCCTCAGCCTCCCAAGTAGCTGGGACTACAGGCGCCCGCCACCATGCCTGGCTAATATTTTACATTTTTAGTAGAGACAGGGTTTCACTGTGTTAGCCAGGATGGTCTCAATCTCCTGACCTTGTGATCTGCCCACCTCAATTTTGTATTTTTAGTAGAGATGGGATTTCACCATGTTGGCCAGGCTGGTCTCAAACTCCTGACCTCAGGTGACCCGCCCACCTTGGCCTCCCAAAGTGCTAGGATTACAGGCGTGAGCCACTGTGCCCCACCTAGTTTTGTATTTTTAGTAGAGATGGGGTTTCACCATGTTGGCCAGGTTGGTCTTGAACTCCTGACCTCAGGTGATCCGCCCGCCTCAGCCACCCAAAGTGCTGCGATCACATGCGTGAATCACCGAGCCCAGCCGTAATTTCTTGAGTACAGCATCTTCTCTTATCTGGGGATATTCCAGTTCCTGGAAATTTTCTGATTGAGAGTTGCTTTATGTTTGGAGCTACCTTTCACAATCAAAGTTTTCCTCAAATTTCTAGTGGTACTTTCCCATCCCTATGTAAAAGTGAAGCACTAAAAACCTGTCTGGAAGATTTGTGCACATTGGCAGGCCATTGACTGGCTGTAGAGGGAATGGTGGCCAGTTGGCGTTTTTGGTGGGTGCTTTTAAATGTCAGTAACTGTTGTCTCTCAAGAGTCACTTAGTTTTACCACAGAAGGATCCTCCAACATCCTGCCTGGTGGGCATGTCTGGCTTTTGGCATTCTAGAGCTCAACAAGGATGAATAGCAAAGGATCTCATTTATCCAGTATACAAAATTGTGCTTAATCTCTATTTTCTGAACACCATCACCTAGTAAAGAAGTTTGTTTTTTCCTTTTTAAAGTTGAATTTACTCTCTCAGTAACTTCACCCTCCAACTTTAGGAGCCATAGTGTAATTATTACTGGTCAATCTTGGGAATATCTCATCTCTGAAGCTAGTGCTGCAAACAGCCATTTGACTGAGCAGACATTTCAAATAACTGTAAGACACTTAAGAAATGCTACCATTGGCCGGGCGCGGTGGCTCAAGCCTGTAATCCCAGCAGTTTGGGAGGCCGAGACGGGCGGATCACGTGGATCACGAGGTCACAAGATCAAGACCATCCTGGCTAACACGGTGAAACCCCATCTCTACTAAAAAATACAAAAAACTAGCCAGGCGAGGTGGCGGGCGCCTGTGGTCCCAGCTACTCGGGGGGCTGAGGCAGGAGAATGGCATGAACCCTGAAGGCAGAGGCGGAGCTTGCAGTGAGCTGAGGTCCGGCCACTGCACTCCAGCCTCGGCGACAGAGCAAGACTCTGTCTCAAGAAAAAAAAAAAAAAAAAAAAAAAAAAAACAGAGGGAGCGGAGCTTGCAGTGAGCTGAGGTCCGGCCACTGCACTCCAGCCTCGGCTAGAGCAAGACTCTGCCCCGGCCAGAGCAAGACTCTGTCTCAAGAAAAAAAAAAAAAAAAAAAAAAAAGAAATGCTACCATTGACTGGGCGCTGTGGCTCACTCCTATAATCCCAGCACTTTAGGAGGCTGAGGCAGGGGGATCACCTGAGGTCAGGAGTTTGAGACCAGCCTATCCAACATGGCAAAACCCTATCTCTACTAAAAATACAAAAATTCAGCTGGGTGAGGTGGCACATACCTGTAGTCCTAGCTACTCAGGAGGCTGAGGCAAGACAATCACTTGAACCCAGGAGGCAGAGGCTGCAGTGAGCTGAGATTGTGCCACCACACTCCAGCCTGGGCGACAGAGAAATACTTCATCTCCAAAAAAAAAAAAAAAAAGGGTTTTTATACAAGAAAAATAAAGTGAATTAATCCTGTTTTCTTTTTTTTTTTTGTTTTTTGTTTTTTGTTTTAAAAGCTGGGCACGGTGGCTCACACCTGTATTCCCAGCACTTTGGGAGGTCAAGGCAGGTGGATCACCTGAGGTCAGGAGTTCAAGACCAGCCAGGCCAATATGGTGAAACCCCGTCTCTGCTAAAATTACAAAAATTAACCAGGCATGGTGGCAGGCGCCTGTAATCCCAGCTACTCGGGAGGCTGAGGCAAGATAATGTCTTGAACCCAGGAGGTGGAGGTTGCAGTGAGCCGAGATTGCGCCATTGCACTCCAGCCTAGGGGACGAGAGTGAGACATCATCTCAAAAAAAAAAAAAAAAAAAAAAAAAAGAGTTAAAAAAATCTCGCTACTATTGACACCTTTTGTTTTCCTGTTTGGCTAATACCTTAATTCATATTCTTATTCATATGAATTAATTCATACGAATTAAGGTCTCCAAATGAAGGTAGAAAAACCTATTCAATTGAGACACACACATTTTATTTTATTTTTTTTGAGACGGAGTCTCGCTTTGTCGCCCAAACTGGCGTGCAGTGGCCAGATCTCAGCTCACTGCAAGCTCCGCCTTTCAGTTTCACGCCATTCTCCTGCCTCAGCCTCCTGAGTAGCTGGGACTACAGGCGCCCGCCACCTCGCCCGGCTAGTTTTTTGTATTTTTTAGTAGAGACGGGGTTTCACCGGGTTAGCCAGGATGGTCTCGATCTCCTGACCTTGTGATCCGCCTGTCTCAGCCTCCCAAAATGCTGGGATTACAGGCTTGAGCCACCGCGCCCGGCCGAGACACACACATTTTATTAAGGCTCTTAAATTGAAACTCATCATTTTGGATGTACATTCAAATTCTAAACACAACAGTCACAATGCAGTGACTGTAATAAAATATAATAACCTCCTATAAAGAAACGATTGGGGACTATCATTTTTGTGATTTAATAACACAGTGAAAATCCAGGAAGAATGAATTGAGTTCCTTCTAGGAGTTGTTTATCCCTATTCATGCTTAAGATTAATGATTTCGCTGGGCGCAGTGGCTCCGGCCTGTAATCCCAGCACTTTGGGAGGCTGAGATGGGCGGATCACGAGGTCAGGAGATTGAGACCATCCTGGCTAACACAGTGAAACCCCGTCTCTACCGAAAATGCAAAAAATTAGCTGGGCGTGGTGGTAGACGCCTGTAGTCCCAGGTACTCCAGAGGCTGAGGCAGGAGAACGGTGTGAACCTGGGAGGCGGGGCTTGCAGTGAGCCAACATGGCACCACTGCACTCCAGCCTGGGCGACAAAGTGAGACTCCATCTCAAAAAAAAAACAAAAAACCAAAAAAAAAAAAAAAAAAAGATTTCGTGAAATAAAGAACATTATTTAAGAGAGAAAAAAAGATTTTTGTTTTTTTTTAAAAGAAATCATCACTCTCATTTGAAAGGTTTGCTTTCTTATTTCCTATAAGTACATTTTGTTTTTCTAATTCAACTGTAACCTCAGGACCACTGTACAGCACTTAGTAAACCTGTCTTTGTACATGGACTCTAGTTCTTACCAACTGCCTTCTCAAATGGAATAGAACTATAACACACAAATAAAAGGAAGATGAGCAAGCACAAGGACAAACAGGAGGAAAATAAAGACTAGAATGGGAATCTCATTTTCAACAAGTATCAGCAAGGAAAATGAGACCCTGGTTTCATAATTAATTAAATCTGCAGAATGTCAATTCCGTTTGGTGTTAAACAGTAACCCAATATAAACCACTGATTCTGGAATAAGATTTAAAAAAAATTAACAAATACCTGAGTGAATATAACAATATGGCTAGACCAAAATGAAAAAAAATCTCACACACAATAATCACTGCAAGAAAATCCCACAGGTTATAGAAAACATAAAGGAACTTTAATATCCAAACATTCAGGGTAAAGAATACTGGATTAATGACCCATTAAGTGTGAATCACTTCAGGTTCTTTACAGTACCAGAAAGTAAAATCTAAATTTTGCATATTGCAGAGAATGAAACCATTTAAAAAACTTTTAATTTCCTTACCTGATACTAATACCAGTATGATTTTTAGACTGAAAAACTAAGAGTAAGATTTAAACCAAAGATAGATAGGTGTTCCTGAAATGTGAATTTGTTCAGTAGTAACCTTTTCATCGCGAGTACTGATACCACTTTCTTCTCAAAAAGTAGTCAATGTACATTTTAAGATTTGTGCAATAAGCCAATATGCTGGCTAATAAAAACTGTTGTTACTGGAGATAGTCAAAATGAAAGAAAACTATTTAAATTATTTATGCCCAAATAATTTACCCTGCAGTCCATGAGATGTACAGGAAATAATTTTTTTTAATAAGAGAAAAATGAGGATCCTAAAATAGAAACATAAGCCAGAAGAAATCTAAAAATAGCTTCCTGATATTTTATTTTTTTAAATATTTCATTTAAGCTGCTTTTGGTTGCATGCCCTGATCTGTAGAAGTTAATAAGGAAATAAAATTTCCAAGTATTTAAAAAATTTACTCATCTTCCATAAAGCGACTTTTAATGTATCAACACTTAAAAATACACAGTGACACAGTGACTTAATGAAATAGCACAACTGCATAGAATTGAGCTCCAGAGAATTACACACTTGAGCTATCTTTCCTGGACTCTGGTTTACAAGGGTATTGGCTTAGAGACCAGCTTGGAGTCATTTGCCCCTACCTGGAAAATGCAGGCCAGGAAACTTAAGATTTTGCAGGCCTTTTCTGTTTCTAGGTAAAATGCAGGGAGCTCTCTGAAGGTCTTGAAAACCACTGACCATTCAAATATATATACTGGGACCTTTCCTCTCTGAGTCAAGGAAGAAGGAGGTTTGTGACCTTCACCAAAAACAAAATGAAACTTCCCACACAAGTTTTCTAAGAGACTCTGAAATACAATAGAAATTTCAAAACTAGAACAATGCCATCAAAGATTAAACCTCTTAATGCTTGGAGCCACTCCAAAATAATAAAATTGGGAACTCCAGGAAAACAGGTACCAAAAGAATCAAAATAATGATTGCACTGAGGATTCTTATTTGAAGGCTGTTTAAAGAGGTAGGATTTTAAGTTTTTTTTTTTTGTTTATCTTTTGGCCTCTGAACATTTAAAAAATGCTTTGCCCAGCTGGTCCTTCAGGCAAAATTTGGAGGTCACAATGAACTCCAAGCCTGACACATAGATATTCTACAGTTTCACAGCTATCATTTGTACATGTTAAGTTGATTCACTCTTTTTGAGCAAATCTACCTATAAAACAGCAAATATATTCCTTTACATACAACTTTGTGTCTCAAAATTCTTGAAAAACAAGAGCAGATGACTTTGTATTCAAAGACTACCAAAGTATGTATTTGATGTTTACATGCAAACAACTTAAAACCTTATAAATTTCATGTAAACTCTGCATGATACCTTGAAGGAAATGACATACAAAGTTTGCTAACTGTGCAAAATATTAAATTGCTAAAACATTTTACATAATAATACATGTAAATGTTGAAGTTGACACATGAAATTAACATGACATAAGAACTTATCACATTTCAGATATTTTCTTTAGTAACAAGTTTTTGTTTTTATAGTTCCTGGTACACAGCAAAGTTTATCACAGAAGATAAAAATTCTTTTAAACAAATCCAACAGGGAATTCTTGAGGCACCTTCTCATATAAAACACAAGATGAATGCAATTATCAATCCATCTGAGAAAAGTTTTCAATTTAAATGAACATCATTTTTTCCATTTAAGTATATTTTACAGAAGTTTAATAAGGCAAGACAAATTTGTGAAAAAAGATGTAGATACAAAAATGACATAAACTAATAATTTATATTAAAAAACCACAAAGGGATAACAGTGGAGATGGGACAGCTCAAACAATGCCTTTTTTTTTTTTAACCTAAAACAGAATTGTGCACAAGCTGAAGATGACAGAGAACTTCTGGACTCTGCACAGTTTTTTTTTTTTTAACATCTTTATATTACATGTTTTAAATCATATCAGGAATGCAAACTATAACTGCACACTACTTTAGTGGAAAAAAGTTCAATATTGTGCAATTTTCTGCCTCTTAATAGTTAAAAAGTGGCAGCAATCCCTGCATTTGTGTTTGAAACAAGGATCTGAGAAACTTTATCAAAAAAGGTAATGAAGGCAAAAATTGGCAGACATCCAGCATCTTGTTTCTTTTTAAAACAATGTGGATGATAAGTAATTTCATGATTAAAAATGAATCTTTTAAATAAATACATTGTATCTGACATTTGCACTGACTGATTTGATAAATCTTTAAGTAAACAACGGCTTTACTACACTCCCTGTAGCCTCAAGCCACTGGCTTTAGATTCTGGAGTCCTTTTTCACTGGGTTTCATACCCTGCCACTCGATACCCAGAAGGCTGACTGGGCAACATGCTGCCATTTTGCCCTTGAGGCGGTTGCACTCCATAATTTGGTCCCATCCATGGTGCAGAAGACTGTGTCTGACTGGTGGAGAATGTGAAAGAAGCAGAGGGGAGAGGAAATCCACTGATTAAAATAAAGTATTGGCAAGAACAAATAACAAATATGGGAAATGGGAAACATACTTTTTCTTAAACCCAAATAGAATAACTTACGCCAGGGAAAACGAAAGCTTTTACTAAAGTTTTTTTTCTCTTAAAAACAAGCATCCCTGTATGTTTTTTTGGACAGTTTGCTTTTGTTAGAAATTAAAGCTGGCCGGGCGCGGTGGCTCAAGCCTGTAATCCCAGCACTTTGGGAGGCCGAGACGGGCGGATCACGAGGTACACGGTGAAACCCCGTCTCTACTAACAAAATACAAAAAACTAGCCGGGTGAGGTGGCGGGCGCCTGTAGTCCCAGCTACTCGGGAGGCTGAGGCAGGAGAATGGCGTGAACTCGGGAGGCGGAGCTTGCAGTGAGCTGAGATCCGGCCACTGCACTCCAGCCCGGGCGACAGAGCGAGACTCTGTCTCAAAAAAAAAAAAAAAAAAAAAAAAAAAAATGTCTCAAAAAAAAAAAAAAAAAAGAAATTAAAGCTAAGAGTTAGGCACGGGCTCGTCTCTCTGTAATCCCAGCACTTTGGGAGGCCGAGACGGGCGGATCACGTGGTCAGGAGATCGAGACCATCCTGGCTAACACGGTGTGAAACCCTGTCTCTACTAAAAAGTACAAAAAACTAGGCCGGGCGAGGTGGCGGGCGCTGTAGTCCCAGAGCTACTCGGGAGGCTGAGGCAGGAGAATGGCGCAACCGGGAGGCAGTGAGCTGAGATCCTGCCACACCCAGCCTGGCTTGCCAGAGCCAGACTCCATCTCAAAAAAAAAAAAAAAAAAAAAAGAAATTAAAGCTAAGAAAATACCCTGAAGTTATCAACATTCATCTCCCCTGAACACAGAAAAACTTAACCCCATTCTCGGAAAAGAAAACTGTCCATCTCATCTCTGTATCTTGGTTAAACATATTTGCTGAGGAAGCCACTACCTGAGTCAGGTAGGTTCCCCACAATGAAAAAAGAACTAACATTATACTACTCAAAGAAGAAATCAAAACAATTATTAACAAATATAAGCTCATAAAAATTCATAACATTGCAAGATTTTTTCTTTTTTTTTCTTTTTTGAAACAGGTTTTCATTCTGTCACCCAGGCTGGAGTACAGTGATATGATCTCAGCTCACTGCAACCTACATCTCCCCAGGCTCAAGCGATTCTCCCACCTCAGTCTCCTGAACAGCTGGGATTATAGGCACGTACCACCATGCCTGGCTAATTTTTTTTTGTACTTTTTGTAGAGATGAGATTTCGCCATGTTGCCCAGGCTGATCTTAAACTCCTGGACTCAAGTGATCCACCTGCCCTGGCCTTCCAAAGTGCTAGGATTACAGGCATGAGCCACCGTGCCCAACCACAAAATTCCCACCACAAAATTCTTTTTTTTTGGAGACAGAGTCTTGCTCTGTTGCCCAGGCTGGAGTGCAGTGGCATGGTCTCAGCTCACTGCAACCTCCACCTCCCAGGTTGAAGTGATTCTCCTGCCTCAGCCTCCCAAATAGCTGGAACCTATTAGTAGTGTGCACCACTACACCTGGCTAATTTTTGAATTTTTAGCAGAGGTGGGGTTTCACCATACTGGCCAGGCTGGTCTCAAACTCCTAGCCTCAAGTGATCTGCCTACTTCAGCCTCCCAAAATGCTGGGATTGCAGGCATGAACCACCACGCCCGGCCCACTACATTCCTTTTTAACCTCCCAAGTATTTTTATTTTCAGTGTGTTTTTCAGAAATGTAAGTAAAATAATGTAATTTAGGGTGTATAAGGAAGCTTGCAATATAACAATGCATGAAAAAACCCTTTGCACAGAAAAAAGCATAATGAATACAACAACTAGCATCAAAGTCAGTGTATATAAGAATGACTAAGTGACCATTAGTCATGTGAAAACCTTAACAACTATTAAGCTCTTATTTTCTTACTAAAAAACAATTAAGTTCTTTGAAGGCTATAGTTACGCTTTATATAAGAGGCCCTATTATCCACTAATCCTTAAAATTTCTTCCTACTTAAAATATTTTTAGACATTTTCAAAGGTTAGTAAAGGAAGAGATCAGATATGCTTACTTAAATCCTTGCTGGTTCCATGCCTGGCCATACATTCCATATGCAGGAACTTGCCAACCATTAGGCATATACTGGCCAATTTGTTGTGCATTTCCATACCACTGACCCCACTGGCCATAAGGTTGTGGATATCCAATTTGATTCTGCTATTAAATAAAATTTAGTATTACTTGAAGTTAACTGTAAATATACAATCTTAATATGTTGATACCACAAATTCTTAGCAAAAACACACAGGGCCATCATTACAATTAAAATGACAGGATAAACAAGAGTTGACGGCTAAAAAACAAAACAAAACAAAACAAACTTAGGTTATACTGCTGTAACTCTACATGATACTCTGAATGGCATAGTTTTTGGAAGGCATCAGTTGATACCCTAGTAATAAATGTTAAACATAGTAGAATGTTTAAGTGTTTGGTATACTATCCACGATTGTTTCCTTTAGATAGGGAAGATGTGATTAGTTATTTCTATATTCAGCTTACTTAAGAAACTTATATAGTTTAGGATTTGCTTACTCCCATCTCTGTGCTCCATTTACAGTTTCCTCATAGAAATCTTTGTGGAATCAAGTCTGAACCACTAAAGCTGCCTGGAAAAAAAAAAAAGGCAGCAAAATCTGGAAGAAAAATGCCAAGGCCCTAACTATATTTACAGCTTTATTTTTGTTTCAGTTGAGTCAAGCATGCTTGTGAGTTCTCCAAATAGTATGTGAATAAATCTACCAAGTATTAAAAAAAGATTTAATACCCTTTTAGGTTTCTCGGAACATTTTAAAATCCACTGTATGAGCATGAGTCAACTGAGGCGGTCACATTCATCATGTCACCACTGCAATCCATGAAACACCATTCTGGAACTATAATACATGTAGGAAGAGCCCTTATATACTATCATTTTAGCTAGAAACTTATTAACAAGGATTAGCAACAATCTTCACTTTAAAATAACATTATTAGCCCAACAATTACTTCTCAAAGTTAAGAACCCTCTCACCTGTTGCACGGGATTTATCATATCAAGAGTTTCTTTGCCCCAATAGCATTTCACAACATGACCTTCAATGGTAGTACCATTAACAGAAACAATTGCATGTGCTGCACTTTCATGGGAATTGAACCTATTGAAAACAATATTAAGAATCACCAATACAAATTCTTTTAAATATTTATGAATAAAACCAATTTTTAAAAATCAAGGTGAGTCTGAGGTAAAAGTTTGCATAACATGGTGTATTTTCTTTGCTATTTTTTTCAAAGATCTTGTAGTTCTGGGGAAACGTGTGTTAATTGAGAATGTGTGTTTCACTGGCCTTGTGTTAGGGAGGGGGCTATAAAATCACAGAGGCAAATATGCTAGATGCTAGAGAAATTTCAATTTTTTTTTTGAGATGGAGTCTGGCTCTGTTGCCCATGCTGGAGTGCAGTGATTGTTATCTCGGCTCACTGCAACCTCCACCTCCTGGGTTCAAATGATTCTCCTGCCTCAGCCTCCCGAGTAGCTGTGATTACAGGCATGTGCCACCACGCCCGGCTAATTTTTGTATTTTTGTATTTTTAGTAGAGAAGGGGTTTCACTATGTTGGCCGGGCTGGTCTCAAACTCATGACGGTGATCCACCCGTCTCGGCCTCCCAAAGTGCTGGGAATACAGGCATGAGCCACCGCACCTGGCCGAAATTTCAACTTCTTTATAACCAAGGTAAATTTTTAAGAAAACAAGGTAAATATCCAAAAAATATTTCAGAGGAAAAAGTTTATTTTTTATTTTTATTTATTTTCTGGTTTTCCAGTTACATTACCAAGAAAAAAGTTTTTTTTAAAAAACCATCCCTACCGAACAAATGAATATCCTTTATCTGGAAAGACTCGAATTTCCATTATTTGTCCAAATGGTGAAAAAGTCTGACGCATTAGTTGTTCTGTTAGACAAAAAAACAAAAATCACACTAAGTTATATAAAAATCCTACAAATATTAAGCTTTGCACTTTAAAAATTAATGCCACCCAGGGAAGGCTCCCATACCTGTTAGCCCAGAAGTAACACCTCCACAGTATACAGTACAGTTGCTTGGACTAGATTGATTTACAACCTCATCATATGATAGCTGTTTGGTATTTGCTGGTGAGAGAAAAGGTTTATGTCTTTAATTCATTAAATAAAATGTACAGAAAGAGAAAAGCAATATTCACTACACTACTGTAAAGGTAACATTAACCTTGATCAAAATGCTTATATTATACATATTATACTTCAGTTCAGGATTAAACCTCCCCCACGAATGTCTAAAAAATTACCCAGTATTTTCTACTTAATAGGAGACTTGACATTAGAAATAATATCATTTATAATTACAAAAATGAAAACTAAGTACATTTTTGAACAGTAGTCTTGATTTGCTTCTCATCTATTTCTGCAATAAGTCTCCGGGAACAGCTCTAACATTTAAAATCTAGTGTATTTTTCTCCAAAATTCCACATTTCCTTTTCTTCTCCAATACACCTACACTCATATGTACTCTTTGGAGCGGGAGGCTTTCGGGTTGCCCAGTTAGTTCTGATTTGTCTTCCACCAAGCCACTGGCCACCCATCTGTTGAATGGCGTTTTCAGCATCCTGTTCCGCACATTAGAAACAATAAAGAAGTCACTATTAGTTGATGTTAAACAACTTTTAGCAGTAGAGAAAACTTGGTGCTTTTCACAAATGTTTAAGTGAAAATGCTTTACAAAATACACAATATATGATAGCTTTCCTAAAATGCAGTGGTGTTTTTCATATTTTTAAATTATTTATTTTATTTACTTTTTGAGATGGAGTCTCACTCTCTCACCCAGGCTGATCTTGGCTCACTGCAACCTCTGCCAACTGGGTTCAAGTGATTCTCCTGCCTCAGCCTCCTGAGTAGCTGGGATTACAGGCATCCGCCACTATGCCTGGCTAATTTTTGTATTTGTAGTAGAGATGGGGTTTTGCCATATTGGCCAGGCTGGTCTTGAACTTCTTTTTTTTTTTTTAAAGTCTCGCTCTGTGGCCCAGGCTGGAGGGCAGTGGTGCAATCTCGGCTCGCTGCAAGCTCCGCCTCCCGGGTTCATGCCATTCTCTTGTCTCAGTCTCCCAAGTAGCTGGGACTACAGGCGCCCGCCACCATGCCCAGCTAATTTTTTGTATTTTTAGTAGAGATGGGGTTTCACCATGTTAGCCAGGATGGTCTCGACCTCGTGATCCTCCCACCTCGGCCTCCCAAAGTGCTGGGATTACAGGAGTGAGCCACTGTGCCCGGCCCTGGTCTCGAACTTCTGATCTCAAGTGATCCGTCCACCTCAGCTTCCCAAAGTGCTAGGATTACAGGCATAAGCCAGCGTGCTCAACCCAATGGTGCTTTTAAATTATTCTTCTCTTATTTGAATATTAAACTGTGGGAACGTTAATCATCTGAAAAGGTCCTGAGTCCAAAAGCCCTAATGAAGTAGATATCATAAAGTTCATGCAACTCAGACTATTATAGAAGAAAATCTTACTTTAAACAATCTAACAAGCTTGTTAACAATATTTGGTTTCTCGTTCATCCAACAAATAAATATTGAACAGTTATGTTCCAGGCACACAGTTAAGAGCTAGGGACACACTGGTAAACAAGCATATATGGTCTCTTACATTCTTTTGTGGGGAACAAATAAAGCAATTACAAATTGTGGTAAGACCTATGACAGAAACAAAAGGTTGAGATATGAGAATATGGGCACAAGGATCTACTACAGACAGGATAAATAAGAAAGGTCTTTCTGAAACGACATTTAAATTGAGCCTGAGAGCAATAGGAGATAGCCAAGTCAAAACAATGGAGAAGAAAGCCCCAGTGGAGAGAGAACTATTGCAAAGTGTGTTAAGGCTCGAGGAGTTTGGTATGTATCTGAAAGAAGCATGTGAAAGACTAGTTTCGTGGAATCTAGTGAGCAAAAAAGAATGTCAGAGAATGAAACTGAAAGATTTTAAGCAAGGAATCATCATGACCTATGTTTTAAGAAGGCCACTCTTAGTGCTAAGAGGAGAATGGCTTCAGGTAATGGGTAGTAAGGGGATAAAGATACTTTATGAAACTTGTGCAATATTCTAGATTTTTAAAAAGTGTTGGTGGCCAGCAGCATTGCAGTAACAGTGAATGTAACCTAAACTCAGGGCCAAAATAATGGGGGCTGGAGGGGACACCACAAGCAAAAGGAGAGAAATCGAAGATAACTCTTAGGTTCCTCTAGAGAAATTGGAAAGACAGCATTTATTGAAATGGGGAGAAAGACTAGTAAAGAAAAGGGGAACAGGTCTGAGGAAGAATCAAAAAGCTCCATTAAGAAAAAACTTTGAGATGCCTGTGAGACATATAAATGAAGACCATTTGTTAGTCAGTGTGGAACACAGAGAAGTAGACTGAAGACACAAAATTCATGCAGACTAGAGAAAGAGCCTAGGATAGAGCCCTTAAAAACAGCAAAACTTGAAAAATGGGTAAAGGAATAATCACTAGCTAAGGTGACTAGGGAGGAGTAGCCAGTGATGAAGAAAGAAGCCACAAACGTGTATGGTCAAGGGAGCCAAGAAAACAGAGGTTAAGAGGTGACCTTGAAAATACACTAGCATTGGTAGAAAGTGAGAGTGAAACCAGCTTAGAGTAGACTAAAAAGTAAATGGGGTATAACTTTTGTATGCACACATCAAAGGTAAGTTTAACCTACTACTGAAGGAACAGGCAAATTCAAGGCCTTTCTTGAGATACGAAAAAAAACTCTTTAAAAAAAAAATTAAACAGGGTCTTATTCTGTCATCTAGGCATGATCATAGCTTATTGTAGCCTTGAACTCCTTGGGCTCAAGTGATACTCCCACCTTAGCCTCCTAGTAGCTAGGACTATAAGCATGCACCGACACGGCTGGCTATTTTTTTTACTATGATAAGAACGGCCTTTACTGGTTGCAACAGGCAATGGGAGGGGATTCGGTGTCCACATACTAGATTACCAGGCTTTTTTTTTTTTTTAATTTAATGGAGACAGGGTATTGCTATGTTGCCCAGGCTGGTTGGTCTCTAACTCCTGGGATCAAGCAGTCCTCCTGCCTTGGCCTCCCAAAGTTCTGTTATTACAGGCATGAGCCACTGTGCCTGGCAGGAAATGTACATTCTTAAAAAGAAACAATTATCATACTAACCTGTCCGAACTCTATGAGGTGCTTAACTAATGTTATGTGTTGAATTGTGTCCCTCAAAATGATATGAAGTCCTACACCCTGGTATCTGTGAAATGTGGCCTTATTTGGAAACAGGGTCTTTGCAGAAGTAATTAAGATGAGGTTATATTGGATTAAGGTGGGCCCCAAATCCAAGTCCTTATAAAAAGTAAAGATTAGACTGGGCATGGTGGCTCACACCTATAATCCCAGCACTTTGGGAGGCTGAGGCAGGTGGATCACTTGAGCCCAGGAGTTCAAGACCAGCCTGGACAACATGACGAAATCCTATCTCTACAAAACATAGAAAAATTAGCTGGGCATGGTGGTGCACACCTGGTGTCCCAGCTACTTAGGAGGTTGAGATGGGAAGATCACCTAAGCCTGGGAGGTTGAGGCTGCAGTGAGTTGTGATTGTGCCACCACACTCCAGCCTGGGTGACAGACAGAGTGAGGCCCTGTCTCAAAAGAAAAAAAAAAAAAAAAAAAAAAAAGATATTATATGGATACACAAGAGAAGATGGTCATGTGAAGATGAAGGCAGAGATTGGAGTTATATAGCTACAAGCCAACGAATGCCAAGGATTACCAGCAACCACCAGAAGCCTGGAAGAAGCAACAAAGGATTCTTCCACAGAGCCTTCAAGAGAGCATGGACATGCTGACACCTTAATTGTGAATTTCATGCCTCCAAAACATTGAGAAAATAAATTTTTGTTGCTCTAAGTCATCCAGTTTATGATACTTTGATACAGCTCCTCAGGAAAAAAATAAAACCACTCACTCAAAAAAGTGGAGAAAAAACATAGATGTATCTATGTTGATGGTTGTGAATGGGAGATAAAAGGGAAGCATATGCAAACAACTCTTGAGAATTATAGCCAAGAAATGGGGATATAGGTAGGGAAGGGATGTGAAGATAAACAGTGGTTTTGATTAAGAGATCCTAGATGGCCGGGAACGGTGCCTCATGCCTATAACCCCACCACTTTGGGAGGCCGAGGTGGGGGGACTGGTGGAAGCCAGGAGTTCGAGGACAGCCTGGGCGACAACGGGAGACTGTTACTACAAAAAAAAAATGTGTGTTTTTTTTTTTTTGAGATGGAGTCTCGCTCTGTCGCCCGGGCTGGAGTGCTGTGGCATAATCTCGGCTCACTGCAACCTCTGCCTTTTGGGTTCAAGCGATTCTCCTGCCTCAGCCTCCTAAGCAGCTGGGATTACAGGCGCATGCCAACATGCCTGGCTAATTTTTCTGTTTTTAGTAGAGATAGGGTTTCACCATGTTGGTCAGGCTGGTCTTGAACTCCTGACCTCATGAGTTGCTCACCTCGGCCTCCCAAAGTGCTGGGATTACAGGTGTGAGCCATTGAGCCAGGACTTTTAAAAAAAAAAAAAAATTAGCTGGGCATGGTGGTATACACCTGTGTTCCCAGCTACTCCAGAGGCTGAGGCAGGAGGATGGCTTGCACCCAGGAGTTCAAAGATGCAGTGAGCTATGATCACACCACTGCACTCCAGCCTGAGTGACAGAGTGAGACTAAAACAAAAAAAAAAAAAAAAAAAAAAAAGAGAGAGAGAGATCCTAGGTGTTTTTTGATTGATGAGAATGATCCAGTAGCGAAGGAATAGAGTGATGACACAGGATAGTAGTAACAACAAGAACAGCACATATTATGATTCCATTTATAGGAAATGTTGAGAACAGGGAAATCTAGAGACAGAAAGTAGACTGACAATTGTTCAGGGCTGGCAGGAGGGGCATGAAAGGAAAAGGATAGTGACTGCTAATGAGTCATGTAGCTTCTTTTTGGGGTGGTAAAAATATTCTAAAATTTATTTTGGTGATAGTTGCACAGTTCTGTGAATTACCTAGAAACCACTTAATTGTATATTTTTAAAAAAATAATTTTTTTTTTTTTTTTTTTTTTTTTTTTTGAGAGAGAGGGTCTCTGTCTGTCGCCCAGGCTGGAGTGCAGTGGCGCAATCTCAGCTCACTGGATCCTCAACTTCCTGGGGTCAGGTGATCCCCCACCTATGCTTCTCAAGTAACTGGGACTACAGGTGTGCACCACCATGTCTGGCTCATTTTTTGTAGAGAAGGTGTTTTGCCATTTTGCCTAGGCTGCTCTCAAACTCTTGGGCTCAAGTAATCTGCCTGCCTTAGTCTCCCAAAGTACTGGGATTACAGGTGTGAGCCACTGCACCTGACCACACTGTATACTTGAATTATATCTCAATAAAGCTGCTGTTTAAAAAAAAAAAAAAAAATGAAGCAGTGGCAGCATAAGCTCAAAGTCCTTGAAAAGGCAAGAGAGGTGGGGACACAATCATAAGTGATTTTGCCTTTGACAGGAAGGACCTTTCCTGTACTACAATAGGAGGAAGAATGGGAAGGTGGATGAATTTTATGTAAATTTGGTGGTTGAAAGATGAGAAACATGTTTGCCAAGATAGTACTCTGTACTCATCTAAAGTGTGTGACCATTAAATTAAGAGCAAAACCACTTGAACTCAGTTTTTTTCCAGCAACATTCAGTTATTTTGGGGTAGGCAGAGAAGCTAAGCTCAATCAGTATTGTGGTTTTCCTAGCATGTAGAACACAGGATGAGAGGCTGGGGGTAACTGCAATCAGGGCTGTAGCACTGCATAACACAGCCAAGCACATATCACAAATTTTACGTAAGTTGAAATTTATAGAAGATTTTATAGAAGATTATATTATTTACTCAAAGTTACATCTGTTTTAAAATGGTTGTCAGAATTTGTATACACCTCTGGCTAACTCCAGAGGTCATACACAGGTATCAATAGACATCCTTTGCTATTTGACTCTAGTTCATACAACATACACATTCAATAGTGATTTTTATATAGCAGAACCCTATAGTCCACAATCTTGAAAATGTGAAAAACGAGTTCCTAGCCCACCAAACCCCCAATTTATTTTCCTAAGTTGCACTAAAACATCCTAAAACCTATGAATCAATCCTCTAAGGAACTCAAATTAATCATGGCTATTAATTCATTATAGAAAGTATTTTTCTACGTTTCTAAAATATTATGCTATGATTAATAGTAAAATTTTCAGAACCAAATAAATTCTCTTAATTTTATTTTCTCATCCTACAGGAAAAAAAAAAAAAAAAACCTTTGGTAGATAGGACATGTACATGATTGACCTTGTATTGTTTTCACCTCTCAATATACTTTACCATTTTCAACTGTTCTTTTTTTTCTTGAGACAGGGTCTCACTTTATCACCCAGCCTGGAGTGCAGTGGCTTTATCACGACTCACTGCAGCTTTGACCTCCTGGGTTTAAGTGATCCCCCCGCCTCAGCCCCGCAAGTAGCTGGGACTACAGGCATGCGTCGCCATGCCTGGCTAATTTTTTGTAGAGATGGGGTTTTGCCATGTTGTCCAGGTTGGTCTTGAACTCCTGACCTCAAATGATCCACCCACCTTGGCCTCCCAAAGTGCTGGGATTATAGGCGTGAGCCACTGGGCTCGGCTGAATTTTCGGAATTTCCGAAATAAATAAATAAATAAATAAATAAATAAATAAATTAAATAAAGTAAAGTAAAATAAAAAAATATATATATTTTGTAGAGATAGGGTCTCACTATATTGCCAGGGTTTATCTCAAACTCCTCAGCCTCCCAAAGTGCTGAGGTTATAGGCATAAACCACTGTACCCGGGTAATATATAATTTTTTAAAAAGTTCCTACCCATCACAGTATTTTATTTTATTTACTTATTTTTTGAGACAGGGTCTCACTCTGTCACCCAGGCTGTGCTGTGGCATGATCTCAGCTCACTGCAACCTCTGCCTCCTGGGTTCAAGTGATCCTCCAGCCTCAGCTTCCTGAGTAGCTGGGACTAGAGGCGCCCGCTACCACACTCGGATAATTTTTGTAGTTTTAGTAGAGGCAGAGTTTCACCATATTGACCAGGCTGGTCTCAAAGTCCTGACCTCAGGTGATCCACCCACCTCTGTCTCCCAAAGTGCTGGGATTACAGATGTGAGCCACCGCGCCTGGCCTCCTCACGGTATTTTATTAGCTACTTCTAAACTACCATGGGAATATAAACTAGGGAGATAATGAATTAAATCCATAAATGAGATTTTCAACATCTACCTTTGGCTGATAATTTAAACAACTTTACTGTCTATATTCTGAAAACATCAGTACTCTGCATGCCAGTACTCAGGTGCCAATAAATGTTAAATAGACAAAACAGAAGAAGATATCTTCTAGTGAGGGTAAACAACAGATTAAAAAAGATTAATAATTAAAACTGAGCGCTTCCATTCTTTACTCTTTAAGCATTGTCCATGCACTTCTGATTGAGCTCACCCATTTGTTGAAAAAGGAGACAAAGCCATATCCCTTAGACTTTCCTGTTGCCATGTCTTTTACCACTCGGGCATCTCTGAAATCAGAAACAATCAGAAATTTAGGTTTGCAAACTGTCCTCTGGATATCAAATGAGAATTTCACACACATCTCATTCTCATGTTTCGCCTTCATTAAAGTGAACCTTTAATGCAAATTCACCTTTTATTCTACAAAATTTATCATGTATTAGGAAATGAGGCTTAATTTTATAGACATGCAAATCAATAACTTAAGTATATACGTATATTTATATTGTACAGAAATTGCCTCTCTCTTCAAAACACTTTTTAAACTTTTAAATATTAAGCATGGTGAAAGCAGCTACTCACATGAACTACTTAACCACTTATAAAGTTCACAGGACATTAGATGAATGGCTTTCTTTAACCATGCAATTTATAACTTATTTGACACTATATTCTACCTAATCATTGAAAAAAAAAAAAAAAGAAAACTGGAAACCAAAAGAATGAAAAAGTTGTATATTCCCTAAACTAATTAAACTATTTCATTTTTTCAGATCAATTTATACCCCCCTTTTTGTCTAAATTTTGAGAACTTGACATTTTCAGAAATGTTAAATCATTGAAGAAAAATACTAGACACACACACGTTTTAAGCTAGACAAGAAAAGATTTTACACTGAATTTTAAAATAGCATTCATATAAAATTGATTGGAACTACAAGATATAAAAGCAAAATTTTAAAAAGTCAGAAAGTAAAAAAGCACGCCAACATTTATCCACTGTGAACCGTAGCTTGTAGTTAGCCAGGGCAATTCTGTCCATTCTTCAGAGACACTCTGCAAAATAACCAGAGCCCTATTATTTGAGATTGAGTAAAAACCCAGCCATGATAGCTAAAACTCCATACCTCAAAAAATTGGACTCAAATTGTGCTTCACAGGCAATCTGCTTTTAAGTTAGTCAGGTATGTCACAATGCTTGCTCTCTCAGGACACATGAACAAAACAGGCACTTTTATAACAAAAACCCAAGTCAGAAAGCCATGCAATATAATTTTCTATTAAAGTATACATAAGCATATTTTAGATCAATCTGAGTGATTTATTAAGTGTTCAGGGTCAAAATGACAAAGACATGGTGGTGAAAAGGGAAAACTAATGTAAGTCAATGCTCAATAAGTAAAAATACTTAATAAACTATCTGTATGGTACGCATGCATTTAATTTGGTAGCTGACTCTCTTCTATACTGTAATTTGTTAGTCTACCCTTAAACTCAAGGAACAGGAAGAGTTTATAGGCTGTATATAAGGGAAAGCACCATATTTTTTATACTAAATGCTTTTACAGACCACTGTTTATTACACATCTATAAATCAAGCACTGATATTTGCACTTTCTAGAGAATATCATGAAGACCCTTCAATATATAGTCATCAACTTATCTCCTTTAAAAACAAAAAATCAGGAAAATATGCTACTGACTGCCAAATGATTCCTTTAAATGTAGGAAAGCTAACTCCTTATATAGCCTAAAACTCAAACATTATACATTATCTCAATTGAAAATCATGAAACTTAAAGGTCTTACCAAGAAAAAAAAAGCATACACCAATAATCATGGGACCATAAGAAAATCTACAAACTAAAAATATGATACAGAAATATATTTAAGAGAAAAAATTATAACCCATGATTTGTAAATAATTTATAACCCATGATTTGAAATTGCTAAAATTTGAAGGTCACTTAAACTCACCAACTGTTAAACAAGCTTTGCCTAATTCCAAACTAAAATTCCCATGTTTTCAAAAAAATACCTCAGTCAAAATCAAAGCATTTAATAAAATAGCTACTTAATCTGTTCACAATGTCAGAAAATTTTTTTCTTGTTAAAGTTTCAGAAAATGTTAACCTTGAAAAATATTCAACTCATATTTATTTCTCTCTGAAAAGATTCTCTAGAGAAGCAGCAACAAAGATCTAGATCAGGCTTCTTTATCCTTTTATGGTCCTGTGACTACTCTGACAATAGGATAAAATTTACAAAGATTTTCCACACCAAAATGAAAACACAAAATTTTGCATAGAGATTTAGAGCCCTTGAGAGGCCAAAGGCTAAGGCTGTCTAAGTCCAGATATTCAAAAGCAAGCTAATTATTATTGAAACTCTAAGATATTATTAGGAGGGACAATCAAGAAATGAAAGCTGTACTTATTTTCCTCATCAGGTCTCACAAAGAAAAATTTCATCTGAAAGAAGTCCATTTATAAGCCCTAATTCTGTGACCACCTTTAAAGTTGGTAATCCTTTGGTAACATGCACTGTCATCCCCTAATCAACGAACTGTAATACTTGAAATGAAAGCTCCCAAAATTAATCACCAATACTACTGGCATTTACTTTCCAGTCTCCTCATCTCATCTCTGCTGTTGGTCTATTCAAACCAAACCACAGCTAGCATTGCCTTTTTACTATTCTTCTAGGTGGAAAATAATAAAGCAACTGGAAATCCTGAAGAAGTTTTCTAAACTATTTACTCTAAAGTACTACAAACAACTTGTTTATTCTTACTCTAATATGGCATGCTTTTCAAAATTTTAAAGTTCTTCTATGATGAATGCTATCTTAAGTAAGGTATTTATTCATAAGGGCCTAAAATGTATGATTAATAACAAGTGTAGGCAAGGCAGTGCTTCATAAAATATTATTAAGGCACTATTATTGTTAGCAGTTTTTTTAAAAGGGTATAAATATCTAGGAAATAATATTCAACAACTGCTTTTTAAGTTGAATTGTTAAGGTTTCTTTTTGTTAAAATATATTAACACAAAATGCATGGTATCATAGAACTGCCCAACAGATCTAAATTCCTAGTTACAGCACAATTTTACTAAAGACTGTCACCAAGCTAGCTTGATACCTATATAATAAACTATAAAATGTACAATGGCAAATTTGTCTCTTAAGAGCTATGCTAATTGAAAAAGGATTTTAAGATAATTGAAAACCAAAGGTTTATTCATCAATGGGAAAACAATCTTTGGCTGTTAACTTCTTGAATGATCTCTAAACAATGTAATACATTATATTCAAGTGATAAAATTAATGTTTTATCACTTTTATCAAAATTCACAATTATTTTCAAGTTATGTCTACATATAATTGTTTCTAATTAAAAGGATTTTATTTATCTTCTGTTACTTACGATATTCTTCCAAATGGTGCAAAAGCAGCTTTTATATCTTCAGTTGTAATTTCTGGACTGAGATCACCAACAAAGACATGGAAATGATCTTATAAGGGGAAGGAAGGGGAAGTGAAAAGAAAAATAGAACTTTAGAATTTAAAAAGTACTAAAATCTATCCAATAAAGTATTCTTAAAATGATTATGACTTATGATAAAGTATAAATAAAACACTATCCTATATCTATACAAATCCTATCAATTTTAAACAATGAATCAAGGTAACAATATAGGAAAAATTCTCCTGAAACGACTGTGATACATCTAACTGTAAAGTGACATTTATATTTCTATTTACAGTCAATTATTATACTGGTCTAAGAAAATAAACTAATAATATACAAGTTTCAGTTCTGCAAAAAAATTTAATGACTTAGTTACCATTCTAATAATAATTATTTACTTTTATTCAGTTTACCACTATATTAAGGCTTTACAAATTAAAACAAAATAGTGGTACTGTGAATTATGTAGACTAGATTTGCCTCAGTTAACACAATTTACTGAAGCTAGCTACATGATATATACTTGGTTTAACCATATTTTGTGAAGAACAATCAAAGAAATACCTTGCATTGCAACAGTTTGATGTTAAAGTATTTGACAGTTTTCTCAAAAGCCAACAGTTTTGGTTGCCCAGACATTACACCATTCAGTTTATGTGAATCCATGTGCAAGTGAACTAAGACTGAAGGCAACAGAATGAAAACAGTAATCCCTTCACTTTATATCAGAACCATTAAAAAAGCATTGGAGAGAAATAACCATCCCATATCTGAAGTTTTTAAAAAAGACAACTATCAAAAAAAGAAACACTTTAAAAATGCAAAATTGTTGGACCAACACTTTAAAATGGACACATACATCAATTTGACAAAGCATATTTGGAAAGAAAAATTACCCATATTTGACAGGCCTTAAACAACATTTTGGAATGCTCTTTGGGAAACAAAATTTGAGGAGCAACTCAAGCATTTGGAAGATCTGGGTATGAAGCCCAGATGGCAACCTCAAGAAAGGAGGGTATATTTTGCCCCTTAGTTGGTGAAAGTAGTTCTAAGGCATCAGCTGCTACCAAAGGGATCAGAAAGCTTGAACTAGCACCAAAGTAGCAGACAAGCTATACTTGGTCAACACCGAGAAAGGAGAAAAATATTGCTAGAGAGACAAATAGAAATAATATCTCCTCCCACCACCCCCCCAAATATCAAACAAAAAAACCTCAGGTGGTTAGTGAATACCCTTTCAAGAGATTTCATTTTATGTTTAAGAAGATACAATTACCTTGTGAACGCTGTGTGCTGACAACGGTACTACCTGATGACAAAGATTAGATTTGTTCTTAAATTTATTAACACAAACACATTCAATCATATCTTAGGATAACGATCAAAACATTACTGCAAACATGTATGATGTTTATAGGCTTTACAATAAAACTACTGGGTATAATAAAAACAAATGCTCAAAGAGCATAAAATATACTTACTGCTTGTATCTTTCTTTTGACTGCTGGGGGTTGTTGCCCAATTCACTTTGACTTCCTAAAAAAAAATTTCTACATTTATACTTCACAAAAATAAAACCCAAAATCACATTTACATCTATAAAAAGATAGGAAGATATCTGTTTAAGATGAAACACTGAAGGAGATACCAGCTCTGGTCAAGTTTCAATACTTAATCTTCTGACCTACATTTAGGGAAATAATGTTTACCAATCCTAATCTTTATATGTCTGTTAACATTCAATTAACCTTTCTTACCTAAAGTATACATATTTTTTTCCCTTTCATTCTTTTCCATTAGCATCCAAGCTTGAGTTATTCAGCAAATATTTTGATATTTACCATGTACAAGCCACCATGGAAAATACTAATATAGGCTGCTGGCTCATGCCTGTAATCTCAGCACTTTGGGAGGCCAAGACAGGTGGATCACCTGAGGTAAGGAGTTCAAGACCAACCTGGTCATCATAGTGAAACCCTCTCTCTACAAAAATACAAAAATTAGGTAGGCGTGATAGTGGGTGCCTGTAATCCCAGCTATCCAGGAGGAGGCTAAAGCAGAAGAACTGCTTGAACCCAAGAGGCGGACATTGCAGTGAGCCAAGATTGTGCCACTGCACTCCAGCCTGGGTGACAGAGCAAGATTCTATCTCAAAAAAAAGCCAGGCACAGTAGCTTACGCCACCATGAGGCCGAGACAGGCAGATCATGTGGTCAGGCGATTAAGACCATCTTGGCCAACAAGATGAAATCCCGTCTCTACTAAAAATACAAAAAATTAGCCGGGCGTGGTGGCAGGTGCCTGTAGTTCCAGCTATTCGGGAGGCCAAAGCAGAATGGCGTGAACCCAGGAGGCAGAGCCTCTGCACTCCAGACTGGGCAACAGAGTGAGACTGCCTCAAAAAAAAAAAAAAAAAAAAAAAAGAAAAGAAAATACTAACATAAACACAGGCCTCTGGCCTCTAAAAGCTTTATCTCACCTTTTTAATATTATATGTGAATAACCTTTTGCTATAAAGTGTTTAATGTTTCAGCCAGGCGCGGTGGCTCACACCTGTAATCCCAACACTTTGGGAGGCCAAAGCAGGCAGATCACCTGAGGTGAGCAGTTTGAGACCAGTCTGGCTAACATGGTGAACCCCCGCTTCTACTAAAAATACAAAAAATTAGCCAGGTGTGTTGGTGCACGCCTGTAATCCCAACTACTAGGGAGGCTGAGGCAGGAGAATCACTTGAACCTGGGAGGCAGAGGTTGCAGTGAGCTGAGATTGTGCCACTGCACTCCAGATTGGGCAACAAGGGCAAACTTCCGTTTCAAAAAAAAAAAAAAAGGTGTTTAATGTTTCCAAAAAGTAAACAAAATCATATGTAACTTAAATTTTGTCAGTGCAAGTCACCTTCTTTAATTACGACAGCTTACCTTACCCATTATCTTCCGTCCATTCATAGCAGCTAATGCTGCGGCTGCATGACGATGCTCATGAAACTCCACAAAACAATAGGGATCATTTCCAGCTGTCTGTGGGAGAAGAAACACAAAAGCCAATTTTAAGCTTTATTCACCCATTACCTTAAAATTATGTAAAAAAAAAAAAAAAAAAAAATCTTAAACCAAGTTTTATACATCTAAGTTATCAGGCCATGGAGAATGAATGGTCCATTCCGCAAGTACATTTTAGATTTAAAAAGTAGGCCAGGTGAGGTGGCTCACGCCTATAATCCTAGCACTTTGGGAGGCCAAGGCAGGCAGATCATGAGGTCAGCAGTTTGAGACCACCCTGGCCAACATGGTGAAACCCCATCTCTACCAAAAAAAAAAATACAAAAATTCGCCAGGCGTGGTGGCAGGCTTCTGTAATCCCACCAATTGACACCACATATAAATATTTCTGATGCCTCAATGCACCTGAAAGAGCCCACATTTTTACAGTTCCCATCTGATCTACAAATAACTAGTTCTATTCTCATCTTCCATTATTTAGTAAAACAAATTAAATTCAGCTGTCAAAACAAGTTCATTACAAATTCACTAAAATCCAAATCCCTATTAATTTAGAATATAGTAAACTAAGACTATATTTAGACTACAGTAAACTAAGAATTTATACTATATTTAGACTATGGTAAATTAAGAATTCCTTCCAAGCAATTGCTTTAAGCAACATCTTAAAAAAAAAAAGAATAAAGTTAACTAAGTAAAATACCCTTACATCCATAATCATTTTGCAGTTTTTACAAGGTCCAATCTGGCTAAAGAGTTGCAGAATTAGAGCTTCTGTCACATCTCTGGAAAGGTTACCGACGTATCTGAAACACAAAGAAAAACAATTGACCTTTTTTTTTTTTGAGATGGAGTTTTGCTCTTGTTGCCCAGGATAGAGTGCAGCGGCGCGATCTCGGCTCACCGCAACCTCCACCTCCAGGGTTCAAGTGATTCTCCTGCCTCAGCCTCCCCGAGTAGCTGGGATTACAGGCATGTGCGACTACACTCAGCTAATTTTATATTTTTAGTAGAGACAGGGTTTCTCCATGTTGGTCAGGCTGGTCTCCAACTCCTGACCTCAGGTGATCCACCCACTTCAGCCTCCCAAAGTGCTGGGATTACAGGTGTGAGCCACTGCACTTGGCCTTTTTTTTTTTTTTTTTTTTTAAGAGAAATGGTCTGGCTATATTGCTCAGGCTGCTCTCAAACTCCTGGCCTCAAGCAAACCTCCTGCCTCGGCCTCCTGAATAACAGACTACAGGAACCACCACATCCAGCTCAATTTACCTCAATTTATCTATTTTTTTTGAGACAAGGTCTTGCTGGGTTGCCCAGACTGGAGTGTAGCGGAGCAATCTCGGCTCACTACAACTTCCACCTCCTGGGTTCAAGGGATTCTCCCACCTCATTCACCCAAGTAGCTGGGACCACAGGCGTGTGCCATCATATCTGGCTAATTTTTTTACATTTTCTGTAAAGAAGGGGTTTCACCATGTTGCTGAGCTGGTCTCAAACTCCTGGGTTCGAGTGATCTGCCCACCTCAGCCTCCCAAAGTGTAATCTTAAAGATTACAGGCATAAGGCATTGTACCCAGCCCTCGATTTACCATTTTAAATTTGCTTATTCTCCACCAGTTTCTAAAGCTGTTTATTAAAAATTAAACTTGAGAAATAGGCAGATCTTTGCCTTACACTATAATATTTGGGAGTGACTTTAAAAAGCTTGCCAACACTTAAAAATCTCTTCGAAAACAGAGGTTAAGTATGTTATTTGAAAATATATTAGCTGGGTGTGGTGGCTCATGCCTGTAATCCCAGCACTTTGGGAAGCCAAGGTGGGAGAATCACCTGAAGCCAGGAATTGAGACCAGCCTGGTAAATTGAAACCCTGTCTCTATGAAAAACACAAAAATTAGCCAGGCGTGGTGGTGCACGTCTGCAAACCCAGCTACTTGGGAGGCTGAGGCAGGAGAATCACTTGAACCCAGGAGGCGGAGGCTGGGTGAGCAGAGGTTGCACCACTGTACACCAGCCTGGGCAACAGAGTAAGACTATGTTTCAAAAAAAAAAAAGAAAAGAAATATGTTACACCTTGCTAGTGAAGGGGAAGCTAGTATGTGCATGTCTGTTTTAGTCATGGTTTTGCAAATTAAACCTATTGCTTGTTTCTAAGTTTCCAGGCTTACCTTAGGAAGATAAACTTTCTCAAATGAATCATCGTTAGTTATATAAAATATCTTATACAATAATGGCTGGGCGCAGTGGCTCACGCCTGTAATCCCAGCACTTTGGGAGGCTGACGCAGGTGGATCACTTGAGGCCAGGAGTTTGAGACCAGCCTGGCCAACATGGTGAAACCCCTTCTCTACTAAAAACACAAAAATTAGCTAGGCATGGTGGTGCCCGCCTGTAATCCCAGCTACTTGGGAGTGGCTGAGGCATGAGAATTGCTGGAACCCAGGAGGGGGAGGTTGCAACAAGCCTAGATCATGCCACTGCACTCCAGCCTGGGTAATGAAGCAAGACTGTCTTAAAAAAGAAAAAAGAAGGCTGGCTACGGTGGCTCACGCCTGTAATCCCAGCACTGTGGGAGGCTGAGGCAGGCAGATCACGAGGTCAGGAGATCGAGACTATCCTGGCTAACACGGTGAAACCCCATCTCTGTAAAAATACAAAAAATTAGCCGGGAGTGGTGGTGGGCACCTGTAGTCCCAGCTATTTGGGAGGCTGAGGCAGGAGAGTGGTATGAACCCAGGAGGCGGAGCTTGCAGTGAGCCAAGATAGTGCCATGCCACTGCCCTCCAGCCTGGGCAACAGAGCGAGGTATCGTCTCAAAAAAAAAAAAAAGAAAAAAAATTTATACAATCAAACCTAAGAAGCACTGCAATTATTTCTACTTCTATGGTATTAATATTACTAAGAACACTGACGTTCTCCCATTTTTTTTTTTTTTTTTTTGAACAAAGTCTCGCTCTGTTGCCCAGGCTGGAGTGCAGTGGCGTGATCTCTGATCACTGCAACCTCCGCCTCCCAGGTTCAAGTGATTCTCCTGCCTCAGCCACCCAAGTAGCTGGGACTACAGGCACCTGCCACCACGCCCAGCTAATTTTTTTATATTTTTGGTAGAGATGGGGTTTCACCATATTGGCCAGGCTAGGCTGGCACCCCCAATTTTTAAATTAACATTATTTCCCTTATTTGTTCAATTTAGGTAGACTTTGGT